TAGAAATCTCTTAATATTATAAGTGCTTTTTTCTTTTTGACTTAGCCAGTGATATTATATGAGCTATAACAGGTTTCAACAGTCAACTCAGTATTTCCTTTTCCACCTTCACAATCAGTGGTTGCACAAACATTTGTGGCAGCATAGCTTGTAAGGTTAAAAAAAAAATGTAAAATTACCTAATATTTATCAACAGTGAAATAGATAAATAATGTGATACATATTCCACTTAGTGGAATGCTGTATAATATGGGGTAAAACATAACATTTTCAAATAACAAAAGTCAGATGTAGAAGGATATTTTATGTATTCAATGTATATATGTTTTTTTAAAAGTACCAAATAAAGCTATGTATTATTTATAAATCTGAAACAAATCTAAGTTGCAGGTAAACAAGTTTATACTGCTCTTTGAACTTTATTTTTGAAATATTTTATAATAAAAATGTGGACCAGGTGCAGTTGCTATACCTGTAATCCCAGCACTTTGGGAGGCTGAGGTGGGAGGATCGCTAGTAGCCAGGAGTTTGAGACTAGCCTGGCAACATAGCAAGATCTCATCTCTAAAAAAATAAAATAAAAAAGGTGATGTATACAAATCTTTCAGAAAAACAGATTACATGTCTTAGTTCATTTTGTGTTGATAAAACAAGAATACCACAAACTGGGTAATTTATGAAGAACAGAGAAGCATTCTTTACAGTTCTGAAGGCTGGGAAGCCCAAGAGTGTGGTGCTGGCATCTGGCAAGGACCTTTGTGCTGCATCATACCATAGCGGAAGTCAGAAGGGCAAGGGAACATGAGAGGAAGAGGGAGACAGAAATGGGTCTGCACTCTCCTTTTTATCAAGAACCCACTCCTGGGATAACTAATCCACTTGGGGGACACATTCAAATCATAGCACCACACTTACAGAGAAGTACTCCTTTGGTAGCCTTGATTTTGACATTGTGGAACTTATTTTCTTTTTCTGCTTAGGAAAAGAATCAGGTGAATTAACGAAAATGATGGGCATAGCTAATATAGAACATCTTTATGTACTTTCTAGTTTACTGCAGTTCTTATGGACTTAAAAAGGAAACCAACTTGTTTAATCCTGAGACTTAAAAAACAATTTAAACACAGTAAATAAACTTTCCACGTGCTAGAACTTTTTGGCACATGTGTTGAGCCAACTATTTCTAACCTCTCTGTGCACATCACTGTTTATGAAACATCCCTATCTCAGCTAGTCTCACCAACTTAGGCAACAAAGTTCTTTCAAAACATGTTATAAATAAATATTTAATAATGTTATCGGCTGGCAGTCCTAATTTTTTTTTCTCTTATAGGTCTGTACATCTTGTTTCTGAACAATTTCACATGTATTTCCTTTGCCATTGGAAACAGTAGCCAAAGGTGGCTGGGGCTGTTCTTGAGTCTTGCTGAGTTGAGCAGCTCAGACTTTAGTTCTAGTGAGCCCTCTTCTTCAGGCTGATCATGTCCATTCCTTGGTCTTTGAAGTTTACTCATACTCACCTGATAGGCATCTTGAAATAAACTTGCATTCTCCACCTTTTATTCTTTGCCCTTGAAAAAGTTCCATTAAAAATTTCCCCCATTACCTACATTTTCTTATTCAGTTCTTTATTCCAAATTAAGTTCGAAGGAGTTTTTTTTGTTTTTTGTTTTGGTGCCATGTGGTCTTGCTTTGCATTATCTTGTCAAATACCTTCTCTAGCCTCAGAACTTTCACTCACTGATTCTTTCATGGCAAATTCACCCAACATACACCCACCAGAGCAGCACTGCCTAAAAAATTCTGTGTCTCAGGGAATTAATGCTTTAATTGAGACACTGAAGCACCGAGTTACCCCAGGCTCCGAGCCCTTTCTTAAATAGAGATCTAATAATAATCAGTGACCCAACTAATGCTTAGAATTGACCTTATTAAAGATTCTAAACCAAACAATAGCCACCAAGAAACATTCTGATATATTGTTTTGTTAAGAATTGGGCTCTGTAATTTTAAGATCTCAAAGAAGGAAATCTAATGCCTACCTTAAGAAATCCAGAAGAAGAGACAGACACACAAAACAAATTGCAATAGAATGTGATAAATGCACTAATGGATGCTTCTATACACAAATTCATTCGCTTTTTGATGACCTACTCTGTGCTAAGAAGTAGGGATACAGTAGTTACCAAGATGAACAGAATCTCTTCCCTAAAGAAACTCACAATGTGAACAGGGGTGGAAATAGCTAAATACTTTCCAAATGTTTAATGACAGAAATATGAACGAGATAAAATAAGGTGTGGTACTGGGCAGTGAGTAACAATGAACTGAAATGTGACGGTTGGCCTGAGAAGCCTGAAGGATGTTATTCTAGGCCCAAGGAGGACAAGTACAGTACTCTGAGGCAGGCCCAAGCTTGGCAGGAATCAGCTTAGTGTGTCTAGAGCAGGAAGGCCAGGTTGAAATGTACAAGTAAAGGGAGAATGGAAAGAGAGTTGGAAAGGCGGGCAGGGGCTAGATTCTTCAGGGCACAGTAGGTCAAGTATGGAGTGGGGGAGACAATGGTTTTCAGCTGGAGAGCTACAAGGTTCAATTCATGATTTATGTAAGAGATTCTTTTGGCTGTTCAGTGAATAAAACATGGAGTGGAAGCCAGCAGGCTAGTTAAGAGGCATCTGAAGTATCAGGTGAGAAACGATGGAAGATTGGATGAGGGTACCAGCAGTGGAGATGGAGAAAAATGGAAAAGTGGATGGCTGGAGGATACGTATTTGCTATAGGAAGTGGCAAGACTTAGGCTGACTGGAAGGAGATGGGTAGGCATTAAAATGAAACAGTGGTATCACAGAGGGAATGGAAGTTCATGTCAATCTGCAGGGGAGAGAAACATGTCAGGGAACATGTTCTCAAAGAGGTGACATTTACACACAATCTTAAAAGCAAATATGAAAAGAAAAAAAAATAAGTGTTGGATAGGATGTGGAGACATTGGGAACCTTGTGCATTTCTGGTTGGGAATGTAAAATGGTGCAGGCACTGTGGGAAATGGTGTGGTGATTCCTCAAAATAATTAAACACAGAATTACCATATGATGAAGCAATTTTGCTTCTGGGCATATACCCAAAAGAATTGAAAGCAGGGACTCAAACAGGCATTTGGATAGCAGCATTATTTACAGTATTCATTCACAGCAGCATTATTCACAGTAGCCCATAGGTAGCAGCACCGAGTGTCCACCCATGGATGAATGGGTAAACAAATGTGGTTTATACAATCCGCCCTCTGTATCCATGGTTCTGCATCTCTGGGTTCAACCACGGATCAAAAAAATTATATCTGTACTGAACATGTACAGACTTTTGTCTTCTCATTATTCCCTAAACAATACAGCATAACAGCTATTTACATTTACATTATATTAAGTATTAAGTAATCTGTGAGAGTATGTGCATAGGTTATATGAAAATATGGTGCCATTTTATATCAGGGACTTGAGCATCCTCAGATACTTAAGCAACCCCATGGATACTAAAAAATGACTATACATAAAATGGAATATGATTTGGTCTCCAAAAGGAAATTTTCACACATGCTGTAAGATGGATGCACCTTAAAGACATTACGTAAGTGAAATACATCAACCACAAAAGGACACATATTGTATGATTCCACTTACATGAGTTACCTAGAGCAGTGAAATTGTAGAGATAGAGTGTCTCAGTTTTGCAAGGTGAAAAAAATCCTGTGGATGAATGGTGGCAATGGTTGCACAGCAATGTGAAAGTACTTAATGTTATTCAACTGTACACTTAAAAATGGTTAAAGACGGTAAGTTTGGTGTTATGCATATTTCATGACTTTTTTTTTTTTTAAAGAAAATCAGGTAGGTTAGTTCCAGGGAGTCAAGAGATCAGAAGATAATTCTATGTAGAAGCAGTTTGTGTGAAGACATGTAATGGTGAGGTATGAACTGTGACATCTGTTTTTCAGTGGGATGTTTAAAGTGTTATGATCATCACTACTATTTGTTTAAAATCCTGATGCAAAACTTGGCTGTATCTGATTCTAAGAAGCCATGTGTCCATGCCATGTTCCAGGGACAGAAACTTGTTGAGCTCCTACTATGTGTCAGGTAGTAATGACTCTGTCCTCCTAGGTGTCAGCTCAGTGGTTAAGACCTACATGCAGGCCCAAGGTCACAAAATTATGTAGCTTCAGTCTTGAAAAGTGCAGTGAAGGGAAGTGCTTGTGCAATGAACCTGGTTCTAACAAGGTAGCCTAACCTACTTGGCAGTAGGCAGTGAGAAAATGCTCCCCTGGGGAAAAGGCATTTAAATGGATACCTGGCTGATGGGCAGGAGTGACGCAGAAAAGATATCTGAGGCCTATGCCACCCAGAAAGACAAAGGGGAGGGCTGAGAATCAAAGAGGGTGGGTTAGAGAAAGGATATTCAATTGCAGCAGGTAACATGTTCTCCCAACTGCCCAATTTAGACTCCCGTAAGCAGAAGTCACAGTGGCTTATGCAGCTGTGCAATGATGTTTGGTAATAGGCTCCTACCATGTTTTCCAGGCGTTTAATCTTATTTTTAAAAATCTTCTTCAACTCTTGTATTCAAAACTGATAAAGTGAAAAGAATGTCCTTCCCTCTTCCTCACATGATCAGCTTCCCTCAGAGGTCACAGCCTGAAGAGTGAGGGCAGCAGTGGGTACTCGTGGAACCTGGCTTCCTACTTTGTTGCCCTCTCCTTCCCCCATTACCCTCCCTTGACTTCCGGGTGGGTTTCCTATTGCCCATCTTGGAATCTGAACTTCTGGTCACGCATCTGAACTTCTGGATGGGAACTTAAAGGCACCAGGAAGGGGAGGCACCGCTGCCACCATCACCCAATAGCGCAGGAAGCAGGTGTGAGGCGACCTTGGGAGCACGTGCGGCTGGAAGGGGCACAGAAGCTACAGCCAGACGCACCTGGAGCCCCACCCGCGACCCCCGCTCACCCTTCTCCTTGGTTACGATGGAGATGAGCGGCACACGTGGGCGGTCGCTGAAGACCTCAGACTGCTGCACCAGCGCCTCGCGCACGCTGTGAAAGTCGTTGAGCACCACCACCAGATAGTGGCCGATGAAGAAGCTGAAGATGTTGCCATACACGCGGGCCAAGTCAGCCAGGAGCACCTGTGGGCCCACGGTCGCGGGATCCAACCCCGTTGCCCTAGCCCGGCGTTTCAGCCAGCTGTGGCGCTGGAGGAAAGGCGGCAGCAGCACGTAGCCGAAGTTGCCGACCAGGGGCCAGGGCGTGGGCCCCGGGGGGATGCCCCGCGCCCGGTGCCGGCGCAGCCACCTCCAGGCCAGCAGCGCGACGACAGCGCACAGCAGCAGCGCGCCGCCGCTCGGTTCCAGGCGCCGCAGCCCCGGAGGCGCGCGCAGGAGCGGCACGGGCCAGGCCGAGACCTCGGCCGGGGGCTGTCGCGGCCCCGGGGAGGACATGATCGGTGCGCCGGCGGCCGCGGTTTC